CGATCCCAATACGAAGTTCGCGAACATCAGGGATATCCATCGGGCTCAAATCGAAGCGGGTGAAAAGGAGGTTATCACGGCTGAATCCAGCGACTCTGAATGCCCTAGTGAGGCTGGCAGCTGTATTGTAGTGGGTGTGGTTGAGGATCAATAGTTAATAGTAATGAGGAGGTTGGGTTGTGATCCCATCGTTTTTGTGGTGCCAGAAACAGGGGGGTGCCAGGAAGTGGGTATGTTGACTTACTGATTTCAACTGGCCAGTTGATCACTCTCATGTCAACCAGCATGATGGCATCCGCTCTACCACAAATATCGCGAGATCTTGGTATCAGTGCTACCACAACACAAATCACTTTCTCGCTGTTCGTTTTGGGCCAAGCATTTGCCCCTTTTCTGATCGCAGCTTTGTCTGAGATGTATGGGAGAAAGCCTGTCTGGATCGTTTCGTGTTGCTTCTATCAGCTTTGGAATGCACTCTGTCCCGTCGGAAAAAGTGCGCCGTTGATGATTGCCGGAAGGTTCCTGTCCGGTTGCGGAGCCAGTGCTGGTGTAGTGGTATTTGAACCCCGATGACATTCTCACTAATTCCTACGTAGGCATGAACTGACGATGGTTGATAGTTGACAGGTCCCATCATGGCTGACATGTACCGGGCCAAAGACCGTGGTAAATCTCTTGCAATAGCATCGTTCATCCCATACTTTGGCCCCGCGCTCGGCCCCATCGTTGGCGGGCTTGTGTCGGATCATATCGAGTGGCGGTGGCTGTTCTGGATATTGTCCATATTCTCAGCAGCAAACACTTTCGTCGCATACTTCTTGGTACATGAGACCTACACGCCGATTTTGCTTCAGCGCAGACTTAAAAGTCGATTCCCGAGCAGCCGCAGTTGCTTCGATCAGCCCGGGACCGGAGTTGTCCACAGGGGGCTTTCCAAGGGACTATCCATCCATCTTCTCAGACCGATGATAATCCTAACCAGTCGTCCAATCATCCTGATTATATCATGGATTTGGGCAATCAGCTTCGGTCTCTACGTGCTCGTTCTCTCGTCATTTGCTAGCCTTTGGATGGACAAATACGGCCAATCACAAACCCAAAGTACGCTCAACTACATTGCTCTAGCCATCGGCATCACAATTTCTTCGCAGGCTGGAGGTCCACTCATGGACTACATTTTCCGACACCTCCGAGACATATCCAATGGCGAGACAACTCCGGAGTTTCGAGTGCCCTACCTCATCATTGGTGTCATTCTCCTCCCCGTAGGTTTGTTCTGGTATGGATGGGCGGCAGGGAGGGGCATGCATTGGGCTTTCGTGGATGTTGGCGCCGCTATCTTTACTTGCGGGACGTTCATCACGGGTTCTGCAATAAACGCTTACTTGATTGATGAGTTCAAACATGCTGCATCGGCAAGCGCGGCAGCACGTATGCTGTCCAACGTGTTTGGTTTCGCTTTCCCCATCTTCGCCCCACAACTGTTTAGCAGGCTCGGATACGGCTGGGGCAATAGTCTGCTGGCATTTGTGTTCATAGGAGTTGGACTGCCATGCCCCGTCGTACTTTGGTTCTGGGGCGCAAAGATACGGGCTCTAGGGCGAGGAGCTCAAGATTGAGTACTTTTAGTAATTACAGGTATCATCAAGGTCAATTATAGAGGATGGAGGTTAAAGGTAGTTAGAGTCACAGGAACGGTACGCACGTGGTTTGCAAAAGCGTTGAATTCCATTATATCTCAGTCATCAGATCCCAGATTAATCTAAATTCACAACGAACACCCGACCTTGAAGCAGTGGAATAGACCAAGAACAATTACTACAACCGTCTGGAAACGGTCACCTTCCTAGCTAGACCTGAAGTCAACCATGAACCCGATATTGTAAGAAACGCAACCCATATGTAGAGCCCGTTGGAAGAAGTGAATAAGCAAGCTCCTCTATTTGAAGAACCAGTACATGAGAAGAAGAGTCTTTTGATCACCGAGTTCTCTTACAACAGGAAGACGACTCCAGCAACCGCGCCCAGAGCCATGCCGATGAAGCTGAACGGAACAGATGATCTGCTGGAACCGGCAACGGTAACAACAGGGGGCTTGGCGCCTCCTGTGGGAACACCACCGCCGGGTGCCGTGGGGTTGACGGAGGGCTGACCTGCGGGAGGGTTGGCAGGGGGCTGACCAGCAGGGGGCTGAGCAGAGTTGACGGGAGGCGAGACCGACACAGAAGGGTTCAAAGGAGGCTGGCCGGCCGGGGGCGTAACTGCAGGGCCGGAAGGAGGCGCTCCTGAAGGAGGTGCACCAACAGGGGGCTGAGCAGAGTTGACGGGAGGCGAGACCGACACGGAAGGGTTCAAAGGAGGCTGTCCGACAGGGGGAGTAACCGTAGGCACAGCCGGGGGGTTCGCTGGAGGGCTGGCGGGAGGAATGGCCGGGGCGGTGCCGGTGGGGTACGGAAGGGTGCTCGGCGGCTGGGGCTTGGGGCAGTCACCGTTGCAAGGCGTGACGACCTTGCACTTGTCGTCGGTGCACTCGTACTTCTTGTTGACGTCGGTGTACGGGCAGGTCTCGTGCTCACACATGTCGCCAGTGCAGACGTACTTCTTGTAGCACTCGTCTCCTGAGCAGGTCTCGATCTTGCAGGCGTTGCCGTAGCAGGTGACCTTCTCCTTGATGCACTCGTCTCCCTGGCACTGAGAGTATCCGCAGAGTCCACTCTTGCAGATGATCTTGCGGCCGCAGTCGTATCCGCTGCAAGTCTCTGGGTGGCAGAGTCCGTCCACGCACACGAGGCGACGGCGGCACTCATCACCGTAGCAGGGGTAGTCGAAGCTGACATAGTCACCGTAGCAAACAAGCTTCTTGTAGCAGTCATCGCCGTAGCACGGCTGGCCGTAGCACTGTCCGTTGCTGCAGGGGTTGGGCGCGGGAGTCTCAGTAGGGCAGTAGGTGGTTGTGACAGTGGTAACGCCGGTGGTGAGAGATCCGATGGCGCAGGTCGAGACTCCAGGAGGGCAAGAAGTGACGGTTCCAGTAGTTGTGGTTGTGAAAGAAGTAGTAACAGTCGCAGACGCGGTGGTTCCACCAGCCAGTCCGAGGCGGATGTAGATGGTGAAGCGGACGTTGAGGCCAATGAGTTGACGTCTGGTCAGTCCGACCTGGCCACCGCAACGCTCAGCGCTGTTGCCACCGCAGGGAATGTTGCACTGGTCATCAGGAACGGAGATCTCGTTGACAGAGTCCACAGTTGAGCCACAGAAGCAATCATTGGCGAAGAGACCGACGTACTTGCTGGATGGGCAAGCAGCAATGCAACGCTCGATTGTCATGGACGCAGCAGACTGAGTGAGAACAAAGGTCGGGAAGCTTGTGGGAGAGCGGAAGCAGCCCAAGTAGCTCGCATCACCGACAGTCAGAGGGTTGACAGACGCGCTGGAGGACGCAGCAGCACTGGAGGTGGAGGTGGAGGTAGAGCTGGAGGAAGAAATCTGCGTGTCAATGGTGGACGTGGTGGGAACGCTGGTGACGCCCTCGGACGTAGAGCTGATGGTTGTGACAAAGGTGCTGCCATCGCTGGTGAAGCTCGAGGTGGAAACGAGCGTGGATGTGAAGGAAGAAGCAACGCTAGTGGTGATGACCGAAGAGGTGCCTGATCCGATGCTCGTGGTGACCGAAGGGACACTGGTAACGCCCGAGGTGACGCTTGAGAGGGTAGTCACGATGGTGCTGCTACCACTGACGAAGCTGGAGGTAGATACGACAGTCGAGGTGAAGGATGAGGCGATGCTGGTGGTGCCAACAGAGGTCGTAGCAGATCCAACGCTGGTGGAGACGGAGGGCACGCTGGTGATTCCAGTAGTGGCGGAGGAGACAGTGGAAGCACCTGTGCTGCCTGCGGCCGTTGAGGACGAGGTGGCTACGGCCAGAGTTGAGGTGACACTTGAGGCAACAGAGCTGACTGTTGTAGACGGGAAAACAGTCGTGACACCTCCTCCGGGAAGGGTTGAGACAACGCCCACGGGGTTGAGAACGAGGGTTGCGATGGGGAGAGCAACGCTGACACCACCACCACCGATGCCGACGGTGGCAACACCGCCAATACCGACACCGACTCCGTTAGTTCCCGCTCCGACGGTGACCGGGAGGCCGCCAGCACCGACTGAGGCTGCGACACCTCCTGAGTTGACACCAGCAGTGACGGTGGCTCCGGCAGCACCAACAGAGGCGGCAATTGTGGATCCCACGCCAGCAACAACGGTGGCAACACCGCCGAGACCGATGCTGACACTGACAGTGTTGCCGACATTGGCACCGACGCCCACGCCTGCAATCGTTGTGGTAAGGCCGACGTTAATGGGAAGAGTGGGGAGCGGGAGCCCGAGAACCTGAGCCGCAGATCCCTGGGCCAGGAGGGCAACGGCCGCGATAGAGCGGAGCGCCATTGCGAAGAGAGTGACAAGAGCGATTACTAAAGAGTGACTAGACCTCTGGCGGTTAGCGAGAGAAATGAGGTCAAACTGAAAGAATGAATGTGGCCCAAGGGCAAGGAAAGAATGTCGTGATTATTGTGATGATGAGAGTGGAAAGAAAGTCGTCTGAGGGGGCAATATTGCCGTCTTTTTATCTCGGATTTCGTTTGCCATCGTGTTGACATTGTCTGGAAATAGAAGACTGAAAATGCGCTCTGAAGCTTTTCGATGCCATAGTCGCCCCTGAAAAACGGAACCACTTCGAAGAATGCAGCAATATCCTCTTCATGCCTCATCTGTGCCTAGTAGTAGGCGATGCTTCGCTTCTGTCCTGTTGTCCGAGTGTCTACTTGCGGACGTTAGCTCCCGATCATCATGATCTAGCCCTACCTCTCCTTGCGAAGGGCGAAGAGGGATGGTTGGACAGAAAAGTCCTTGGCTTGGCTCGGACTATGCCGGTTGGCACCAAGAGACATCAGAATTCAGTCGCGTAAAGAGAGGCAGTTCGTGTTATTGTTGCACGAAGGGCTCAGAATGGAGTGCGATGTTTCTCGGAAACGAACCTTAACCACTTTAAGTCCCTTGAACAAAGCGTAAAGCACCGGAAATGCCATTTTCTCAACTGCACATCCAAATTCGAATGGAGTCTACAGCAACTTCAAATTCACTAAAACTCATCATCTTCAGCCGGACATTCGTTCTCAAAAGGGCGTATGCCGCGTCAGGATCTGACATATCCTGTCATATGTCGACGCGGCCTCGGGCCGTAGAACTGGGTCATTACTGTCATTCGCGGTCTGGAACACACCGCGCTATCAGCACTTGTGCCGTTTTCCTGGGTAAGACATTGTCTTACTCGGATGCGCCACCTTGAGCCTCGTGAGGAAAGGGTTACCGTGGTATTGCCGGATGATGTCGGCAATATGAGCGCCGTAATGTCTAAGATTTTCCGGCATTTGCGGGCGTGGAATGCAGAAACTCCCCTGGGAGCCCTGGGAGTCAATCTTGTGCCGGCCCCGTGGTATTTCACAACAATCCCTTGGCAGAGCGTTCTACAAACATTCCAGGTGAACTCGGACCGAACGCTAAATATGTATCCCTACCGTATTGAAGTCTTGTTTTTCGAACGTTGTACAGCGTGCCGTCTGGGGCGCCAAAAAAAGCCTTGCCGGGCCACGCCAGCTATTCAGCTGGGATTTTGAGAGACAGGTCTCGTCATTGATTGCCGTAAGACTGTCTTTGGCGCTTCCCCATTCGACGACACCATCCCAGGGGTAAGTTCGTGGCGTGATTGACCCTGCGGCGGTAGTACGATGGCTGAGGAGGCGTCCACTGAGGCAGACGGGAAACAGACATATCTCAAAGCTTAGCACAGCTTCAACTAGTCGCATGAGCTGTGTGACGGTGCCTGCACGTCGCGCCCCAAGATCGTGCAACCGGATTCTGGCCAAGGAATGAGATGAGATAGGTAGTACAGCGAGTCATCTATTTTCATTCTGCTCCCTCGGTTGGCTAAGCATCACCATGATGGTGCCAACCTGATCAGGCTGGGAATTTAGCATCATCCGAGGAGCAAGGAATAACTTTGGGATGACCTCCCATGGACAACCGAGACTCGCTATCACTTGCTAGATTGATATATCGATCAAACAACAAGTGAGCTTGGTGTGGGTTGTACAAATCAAAGAGACCAAATCCCCAAAGTAATCTTTTGTACAAATTTCTGTACAGAGACTGTGACGTCCCTGACTCGGATTTGATTAAGGGATAAGAAGGCCCATATGCCCCAGTGATAGTCTCTATTTGCTTTCGTGAACTCTCCCCACGCTGATGGAGTTGACTTGAACGTATAATGGTCCTCCTCCGACGTGTATCCTTGTCGGCGGATGCCCTCCTGAGCAGGCGGCTACGCCTTGCAGGCGGTCTCAGCAGGCTTACAAGTAAGTTGACACAGGGCGACGCTGGCGATGCTGCAAATGAATTCCAGTAACTCAGAAGTTATTTGCTACTGCGGGTGTTCAATGGATATTCAACAAATCATTCGAGTGTATTCCTGGCTTGCTCTCTATCCCCCAACTATCAGGTGAGCTGTTCAGAAAACCGTCTTCTTTGATCATGGTTGTCCCATGTTTCAACTTCCTTAAAGCCTATCTGATTACATGTCGAGGCACGCTCTAGTTTCTTAGACCCAAGAGTAGAGAGTCTAAATCATATTCATTTGATGGCCCCCACTCAACGTAATTGACCGCGTATGACTTTCAGTGAGAAGGTCGTACTTCGAACAGAACCTGTACTGCTGAGTCAAGTGTTCTTGCTGCACCTAGGCTTGTTGAGTTACTGCTTTTCTTCCTTCATTTTATCTCCGTCGCAGTATCACCATAGATCGGCGGGAAGCCTTGGACGCGAATGCCGTCATCAGCTCTTACGTGTTTTCCCTGAGTGAAGGTATTCTACCTTAAACATTATGTATAGATGACTGTACTCGGCAACATAAGGAAAGTGGCAGAAAGTTGGTTCACGACAGGATTGATCCCATATTTCTTGAATAACATCATTAACATGGCCGCGAAAAGGAATCCCGTTTCAAGGATGCAAAAGTTTTGAAACGGGCGATAATGCAGGTCAACGAGTGTAGGGTGGTTGCTATCCGCAAAAAGGAAAGCGTCCGCAGGACCCATGCGCAGACAGGGATCGAACATCGAACCCAATAATTAAAGGGGCTTGCGGTTGGCGTCAAGGCAAGCTTACTCCTCGCTTCTTAAAGATTCTAGATTCTTTCAGACCAAACTGAACGGATAGCCGGCGACAATTGCCATGTAAAAAAGGGGATGGCCTACCCAACTAGATGGTCTATGCCTCCAAGTCGCATTATCCCCACTTGTTGACAGACATGCACCCCCTTAGCAATTGCATCCAAGAGTCCAAACTTTTCTACTGTGCCGATTGCCCGGCCCCGAAGTTCGGGAAAGTCATCCTGTTTTACTATGTCTTCACCGAGCTGTCCATATTAATTCTCGATGGCCCCTCCTAGAACATTGTGGTCTGGAAACGAATGAAGATTTATCGATGACGCGACATGTCTTTTTTCTGCCCAGTCGTCAAATTGAATTTTCATATATCTTAGCCGACGTCGCTTAGAACAGCGTTCCTTCGCTGCGCCCACTTACCGACCTACCCGGGAGCCAGATACCGCTTACCTAAGGTAAGGAAAAAACACGAGCCCCTGAACGATCATGACCCGTCTGCAAATCCTTTTCCGCCGATTGTCGGATTCGGTAAACTGGGTTCTTAGGTGAAGGTCCGAAATACGAAGGAATACCATGACTTTGCCTGTGGGAGGGTGTCATCGAAGTCACGTCCACCGCTTTCTCAAAATACATCTCCAATGCTGTCCGGGAGTGCCGAGCTCATCAACATCAGCTTCGTGGTGTCAAAATCAAACGCGGGCTAGATCATTTGTATCTCTGATACAGCCAGTGATCGATTCACAATTTAAGATTTGGGGATTCAGCCTTTGTGAGGTTGATCTTAAGAACGACTGGGGAATAGCAGACATTTTAGTCCTGACGGGTCTGCTGCTCACTGCATGACTTGAGATCTCCGGTGGGTGGACCACGTTGTAAATGTGAGCCTCTGCTAAGCCATCCCTGCTGATACGAGCCAGGGGTTAGAGTTGCTGATAAGGTTGCCAACTTCTCAGATAGAGGGCTGTTAGTGGGAAACAGTCGCAGTACAGACACAACGCATTCAAAATGTTCAAGCGTGGGATACCGCTCGGAGTACCATGATCTGGATGAACAATAAGCTTGATATTTGAGTGTGTGCGACCAACAGGAGGTGCAGAAGTCATAGATCGTGGTGGAAAATAGAAGAGTCCCCGGCTATTGTTGCTGGGAATTTACGAATGGGCTGATCTCCCGGACTGTTCTCATCGTCGCATCGGACGAAAAAGCGGATAACAATGGAATAACACAGACGCTAGTGATCTTGAGTGTGGTCCATGTCCAATCAACTTTTGGAAACTAATCCATGGCAGGCATCGTGCGGCTCTGCCAAGTTAATTCACTTTGGACAAAACGGGATGCCCCACGAACGTGGTTCCCTTTTCGGCTGCATGCCGCTGCCAAAGGCGATGGCGTGAAACTTGGTCGGAAATTTAGAAGGGGCTTGATTACGTCGGGTATCCCTTTCTGGACGACAAGGCACAGCAATGGGCCATGGTCCAGTATTGAGAGTTGAGCTGAGAATACTTTATAAGAAGTTGGAAGGGCTTTCGTCTCATGATGGCTTACTGTTCGGTCATTCTCTTGCTCTCCAACGTTTCGTTCCTTGTCGCATTCCCTCCTTATTTCCCTACCTTTTACTCACTTTTTTAAACTTCTTCGTTCGTTTTACAGACACAGGATGTCTTCCCTTCTTTTCGCTACCGGCCTCCTCGCCGGCCTGGCCCAGGCCTACACCCAGGTCAACGTTGCCTCCCCTTTCATGACCAAGAACATCGATCCCATTGTCTACCCCGGCCAGTACGACAAGTCTCACTTGCACTCCTTCTTCGGCTCCGACGCCGTCACCATCAACACCAAGACCAGCGCCGAACTCCAAAAGGGCTGCACCAACGCCGAGAACCCCAACGACTTATCCGTCTACTGGATCCCCACGCCGCTCTACACCACCGACGGCGGCAAGACCTACGAGCCCATGCCTCTCTCGCGCTTCAGTGCCTACTACAACCTCGGCGAGACTGAGGCCGAGGTCGCTATCCCCCAGAACCTTCAGATGGTTGCCGGCAAGGCCACCGCTACCACCGAGGGTGATATGATCGCCGACGCCCAGTCCTCGTGGGCCTGCGAGAACGGCGGCGGCGGCAGCACCGATGCCAACGGTTTCCCCTCCTCCACCTGCGGCACCCACCTCCAGCAACTCCTCTACTTCCCCCAGTGCGTTAACACCGAGACCCTCGAGACCGCCTACAA